ATGTCTTGTTTACATGAGATTTAGATTTAGCTAAATATTCTGTTTCTGTTTGTCAAGCCTAGTTATTTCCATTTGCTAGGTGCCAAGCACTGAGAAACTGGTAAGAAGCCCTTGAGGGGCTCAAAATGTGAGCAGAAGAGCAAACAAGAGATTCAAAGAAGCAACATTAGAGTGGAAATGCCAAGGATCTGAGCCAGGAGTGGGGACTTCAGGCAGGGATGCTAGTGTGTGAGTGCTTGGCGTGGCACTGGTAGGCTGAGAACCCAAGAAGGAGCTAGATGGGGGACAGCAGGGGTGGGTAGGTGAGACAGTACCAAAAGTGAGAAAATGTCATGGGGGAAGGGGAAGGAATAAGCCAGGCTTGGGAGTGTGTTTGGGGAGGCTATCACGAAAGGAACCGTAAGAGCTGTGATGTACCCTAGACACTATTCGAAGACCTCCATGCTCAGTCCACTCAGTCTGCATACTGTAAAGGGAAGAGTCTGGATAAGAATTGCTAATGGTTTGACTGAGGGTTTTACAAGCCCTGAGTTCAGTCTCTGACCTTGGTTTTCTCCCTTTCAGAGGACTGTACAGGCTTTCTTTCACACGGCTTCCTTCCATTCCTTAGCCTTGCTCTTGTGTCTTCATGGCCACTCTTTGGAGGTCAGGCCAAGGTTTTCAAGTCTTTAGTTGGATTATAATATTCAATGTTTATTATGTTTTTAGGGTGAAGATGAGTTAGACTTCCTCAGAGATTTTTGCTTTATACTAACACCCCTATAAATTAAAATGAAATAGCTGAGAAAACCTAGTATACTTTAATTTGCTTATTTCATGCGTGTTTTACTGGCATTTATATATATACACCACATGCTTCCTGGAGCTTGCAGAGGTCAGAAGAGGTCAGAACCCACAGAATCGGAGGTATGGATGGTTGTGAGCCGCCGTGTGAATGCTGGGCATCAAACCCAGGTCCTCTGCAAAGAGCAGCAAGTACTCTACACCACTTAGCATCTTTCCAGTTCCCTAATATACTTTGAAAGTTTTTGTTGTTCATTTTTGATAATTCATCCCTGAATTAATAAAATAGAAAGCTTACTAGTGCCTCTACTATCTCATATATTTAAATATAGAGGGTTTGGTTTTTAACTTTGAAAATAAGTATATTTTCATTTAGCCACACAAGCTCATTATAGATCTGTTGTGTGGTTGAGCATGATCTCGGTGGTTGCTTGTGGTTAGGACCTCCTTGTGTGCACATGTGGTTAGGCTCTACCTGTCTGCACATGTGACAGCTGTCAGCTGGACTGCCAGGAGTCACTGCCAGTGATCATGAGTGCTTTAATGGAAGCAAGTTTACAATCTAGAGTAGGGGACTTTTACCTTGTTGGGGTGAGCTATCAGGGGCCCTTTTCCCATATTGGTCCAGATAAATCAAGTGATAAAAGGTGACCTCTACTCCCCATCCAGTTATAACTTCACTTCATGGTCAGTAGTATGGAATTCAACATTACACTTAAACTTGTCCAGTCCTTAAGTCATTCACTTAATGACTTGAGGCTTTGTTTTTCAACTCTGGATGTTTCCATTCTTGGCGCTACAGTGGTATACAGTCTGTTAACATGAGGTGCTGTGCACTGTGCTTTGTCTTGATAATGCAACTAAATTCTTATTAGGAACCTTTCCCTTTCTATTTAGTGTTTCCCTATAGCCACAGTATTTAAGTTTCACACTACTCCTGGAATTGATGTATGTTGCTAATTAACTGAACAAAAAGTTAATCCCCAATTTTATATTTTAGAGAATGTTGCAAATGAAAACTTTATGTAGCCCTTTCAGCCCAGTCTTAGATTAGTTTCTTAGAGGCCATGGCATCTTGTTTATATATACTGTGTTCCAGGATGGACCAAAGCCTTGGCCATTCACTGCCACTCTTTCTCTTTGCTGGAGAGCTCCTTACTCAGGCCGTGGAACCCTCTGGAGGAAGTGTAGCAGTGAACTAGTGAAACACTGAGAAACGACCTCACCTTGCTGTTGTTCTGATGTAGTAGTCGGTGAAACTGACCAAACCAGAGGCCTAGCACCGTACAGTCATGTGTTCTTCTGAAGGACCTGCACCTGGAAAATTTAAATTGAAATATGGTTAAAGTAAAATTGTAATCTGTAGCTTTATAAATACATCTAAACTTTTTTTTTCTTTTGCACAAATGCTTATTGATTACCTTGGAGGTATTAGGAACACAAGTGTATTGCAAGGTTTTTAGTTCTTATGGCTGGGCCAAGACAGATCAGAAAACAGATGGCTGCTGCAGCAAGTGGTTGGTGCTTAAGAGAGTTGGCATGTCCCAGGCCACACACACAGTCCCAGGGTCTACTCAAGTGTTCTGTAGAATAGCCATGAAGACAGCCAACACTGGTGAGAGCCAACTGATGAATGGTAAAGTTATCAAACGTCTCCCTAAAGCTTTTTAAGTATGATTGACTTATTCAGATAAAAATGTGATTTTGAAAAACAATACCCTTGCAGTGATTCAAATTGGGTAAAGAATCTTGTGAAATGGAATATGGCTGGCTGACTGAAGAGACATCTTGGTGGCTAGGTGTTTGAAAAGCCATTAGTTTCTTCTTAAGTACACTATCTCATAATTTCTAGAAGAAAAAGTTATATATAACAAAAACATGTACTCTAATATTTTCCCCCCTTGTCATTTGTGTACAAAATATTGTCAGTCTACCTTTTAGAGCCCTGGGGAGACCTTGACATCCTAGCTTCCATTGCTCCTCTGGTAGGCACTGACTGCCACTAGTAGTGGTTCAGCTACTGAGTTCTTCAGCTTCCAGGGGTTATTGGAACTATCATAGCGTATGCTTCTTAGCTATGCTTCTTGGCTGCCATGTCTGCTTTGGGCGCATCTTTTCCAGCCTCTGAATGGCATTCACTGCTTTTGCCTGCTTCTTACTTGTTAGTTTCCTCTTTTAGCTCAGAGACCCCCCCCTCGTTCACCCCTGCTTTCATTGTGCACTTTTTGGTCTACTTTGTTTCTAAATGTTGGGGTGCACAGCCCTTCCCAAAGTGATCCAGTAATGCCATGGCATTAAGTATCCATATACACAAGTTCTCACATGTCTCCCTCCAGTCCCAAACTGTCTGCTTCACAAATCTAGGTTTCTCTGTCTTATTGCCTTAGTACATCCCCGAGTATTTCTACCAGAACAATCAAACAAAACAAAAACACTTCTTGTTTTGCCCATTCCTCATTTTGGGGAAACTCATCTTTTGTTTAAAGATTTATTTCATTTTATGTGTGGGGGTGTTGCCTGCGTGCATTTTTGTGTACGTGCCTGGTGCCTGTGAAGTTCAGAAGAGGATGTCAGATCCCCCGGAACTGGAGCTAGTGATGATTGTGAACCAGCACTTGAGTGCTGGGAATCGAACCTGGATCCTCTGGAAGAGCAGTCAGTTCTCTTAACCAGTGAGCTATCATTTCAATTCCCCATCTTTACTTTTCCTTTCTGTCAGTCCACATAGCCTCTTTTCTCTGGCACCCTCTAGTTTGAGCTGTCTCTGTCATTTTTATACTACTTAAACTCTCTGAAGCTATGGGACTGATTTTTTTTTAAAAATCAAGTCATGTGACTTCTTTGTATACAATCCATTAATGACTTCCTGTTTGCACTTCCAATGAAATTCAGTCACTTTTTCATAGCTTACCCACCTGAGCTGAGTGTCCATAACTGGGCAGTGGGGATATTACAACTTTAGCTGAAATAAAATTTTACTGAAGGAGTGAGTGAACTTTTAACTTTTTCTATTCTTTGTTCATTATTATTTTCCCAGTGCTTAGGACAGTGTGTGTATGTGTGTATTATAGGTGCTAATAGGTGTTTGAATGAATAAATACACTCACCTTCTGGCTCTTCTAAAAGCCTTTCTTCCTCTGTGTTCAAATCAGCACATCAACCAGGTGTAGCACTTTAATCCAGGGTAATTTAAGTACTCTGGAGGCAGAGGCGAGCTGGGAGATCTCTTGAGTTTGGGGCCAGCTAGGGTTATCTAGGGAAGCAAAGCAACAGAAACAAAAGCAGCTCCTTACAGGCCAGGGTTTGCCCCCTGCGGAGAACGTCCTGCAAGGCTTCTGCAGTGCTACCTGTCCTCTCTCCCGTTCTCTAACGCCCCCCCCCCCCCCCCGTTCCTTGTTTAAGTCTTCAGGTCAGAGAGTGTGTTTGATTACAATGTTAGGTGAGGATGGAGGAGGAGAGACAGCATGGAAATGAAAAAGGAGCCATCAGAATAACATTAATAAAGCATTTCAGAAATAAGCGTTGTGATGGGAATCCTGTAGTAGTAGTAGTAGTAATAATAATGTAATAATAATAATCCTATGTAGTAGGAGATATGTTGAGTTGTCTTCATCCTCAGTTCAACACTTTTTCACTTACAGTCAGTATTTAATTTGGATGTTGCCTTTGGCAAAGAAATGCTATGTTCATACAGATTTAGACATAGATACAGTGTAGCCTGGACTTCCATAGTAATTTGTAAACCTTTTGAGGCAAGATTAGGTGTGATTTTAAAGGCTATTAGGAAGGTTCTTAAATTTCTTTCCTGATTCCTTTTTTTGGGGGGTGGGGGTCTGTGCGAATGCCAGAAATTTCATTATGAGTTAACAATAAACGTATAAATTGTGAATTGTAGGTTGTGAGTGAGGCAGGCTAAGTGCTCACCAGCCATTAGTATTTGTTTGTGTGTTAGTGTAGTGGACTAGTTAGAGACACACTTGACCGGTAAGTACACAGTCATCAGCTCTGGTGGTACTTGTCCACTCACTGGGGTCGGGGGACGTCAGTGAGAATGCAGGGTCACCATGGGGCCTTCCAGATTTGTCTCGAGGTGGTTCCAGCCTGGAGCCCATGGAAAGAGGTTCCTATTTTCAGTTCTGTGGCATTCCCATGTGCACTGTGTCCCCAGAGCACCTGCCAAAGGTACTTGGAGCTGATTGCTGCTTGTTTATTTTTAGGTATCTTGCAATATATTCAGAACTCTCCCTCCTAGTGACAGCAATGAATTCGACCCAGAAGAAGATGAACCTACCCTCGAGGCATCGTGGCCCCACTTACAGGTACTTTGGCTTTTCATTTATGTTATGAAAGAAAACTTCATTAACTTCCCCTATTAGCATGGGGATTCCTTGAAGGAAGAGACCGAATTAGAAGACATAGTGGCAAACTAAAAAATGCTATTTGTGTTTCTTTCTTTTTTAGTATTTCGAGACAGGGTTTCCCTGTGTATCCATGACTGTTCTGGAACTAGCTCTGTAGACCAGGCTGGCCTCGAACTCAGAATTCTGCCTGTCTCTGCCTCTTGATTGCTGGAGCTTTTGTGTTGCTTGTGCTTGATAATTAGCATGCTAGAAATAGGGAACAGTGAGTGGGCTTTAGTGCAGTACTTTTGCACGGCCCACCAAGTCACTGTGTTGCAGGTCCAGCCTCAGGTCCTTTTCAGAGCCTTTTTGTGGCCCCGCCCAGTGGGATTTCAGTTAAGAACAAAACTGTTTTCACATTAGGATTAGCTGGATGTGACTAGGTCATGGGATTCTTACCTCATTTTTAGCAGTAGATACAGAGATACTTGAATGCCTTGTCTTTGCGATAACAGTGAGTGGGTTTCCTTTCCTTTCTAGTAGTGTGAGACAGAGAAAACAGAAAAAGCTGTGGTGAAGGCCTGTTTTGGACCACCAGAGCCTTCTGTAGGCTAGTGGCGGGGATCATTGTCTGTTCCGGGTCTGGTCAGGACCACCAGAGCCTTCTGTAGGCTAGTGGCAGGCCTCCTACTTTGTGTACTTACACTTTAGCTGACACTTTTCAGCTCCTTATTTCCTTTTGTCCTTTCTTGAGCCCAACATTCCTTAAAAGAAGAAAACATAGACGCTTGACTCTGTTGACCCCCTAAAGCTATCTTTCCGTTGAGTTCGATGTCTTCAGAGACCAGTGATGAATAACAGGAAGGAAAGGGAGGGTGGAAGAGAAAGGATGTAGCCTTGTCCATCTTCGCCCTTGGGAGAAGCCACTGTGTCTTTGTGCCTGTTCCCTCACTGACATTTCGAGGGGTGAGTTGAAAAGGCCCAGAGAGATCTAACAGTCTATGCTTTCCCCACTCTAGAGACTGACGTACATTTGCCACTTGACCTGTCCCCTTTGGTACCAATGGGTTGCTACGGGTACACTGCGGGCTGTTTTTCCTGGTTACAGGGCTCTTTCCAGGGCTGTGTTTGCAACATGTCCTCAGGCTTGTAATACTGTGTGGTCCTTTTTGCTTGTTTGTTTTTGAAACGAGGTCTTGTAGTCCAGAGATCTGCTAGTCTCTACCTCCTGAGTGCTGGGATGTGCATGTGCCACTGTGTCTGAATTGATTTTTTTTTTTAATAAACATGCTGCGTTGAATTAGGGTTGCTTGCATGAGCATAGGTCAGGGGTTATTTAGTGGGACAAGGGCAACTTATCAGTGGCTACACCACTGAAGGAAATGGTGTGTCTTTTTTTCTGAGACAGGGTTTCTCTGTAGTCATGACTCTCCTGGAACTCACTCTGTAGACCAGGTTAGCCTCGATCCACCTGCTTCTGCCTCCTCAGTGCTTTGATTAAAGCGAACGCCACCACAATCGGGTGTCACATCTTTATTCTTGATGTTTGGTACCAGCCAATTGGATTGACATTTAGTCTGAGAGAAAAATAATTAAAAATCTAGTCTCTCTAAGAATGTGCTATGTCTTGTGGTGTGCAGACCAGGGAAGGACTAGGATACCCTTGCCCTTTGGTTAGCCTTATTGTACAAATTAGCCACTTTTCCATTCCTCACATGGGTGGCTGTAACTGACAAGATCATTCAGGGAATCTCTTCAGCCTGGAAAGATGGCTGAGTGAGAAAGTGCATGCTGCACCTATCTGGAAATCCAAGTTTGGTCCTGGAACTTAATGGTGAAAGGAGAGAAATGACGCTTTTGACTTATATATACAGAGCGCATGCACACGCACACACACACCACAATAAATAAATAAAATTTATTTATTTAAAATTAAAACAACAAATCTCTTTTTCTCTTCAAATAGATTATTGATGTCATGATCATATGTCAGTAGATTCCATGTTTTGTCTGACGTGTTATCCTTGAAGTGCTAGGGGTGAGCCCAGAGTTTTGGGACATGCTGGATTGTACTGCTTGATCTACATCCTCTGCCCTTGATTGTGTTTTGTTTTGTTTTTAATGTGGTCTTCCTATGAAGTTTTGGCTGACCTCACTCACTATTTAGCCCAGACTGCCTCTGACTGGCCATCCTCCTGCCTCTGTGTCCTGAGTACTGGAGCTGTGTACACTACACCTGTCTTATAGTTAGTCTTTAAATTATAACAACTGATTCTTTTCTGACCAAAGCATAGTATGGTGTTAAATCTCTTCACTTTTGTGAATTCCATAATTCACCACATGTTTCCTCTTCTGGACCACATTTTAGAAGAGAGCGAAGTGTGACTGTTGGAGGGTAACAGTAAGAAAATGACACGACTGGTCAGTTTGTGGTCGGTGTTCTTACAGTCCAGCTGACTGACTGACTGTTCCTGCAGAACTGTTTTAAATTTGTGGACAGGCACAGAATTACTGAAATAGACAACAGAATATCAAGTTCACGTGGTATTTGATCAAATATGTCAGAGGTTTACTTGTATGCATGTTATTTAATCTTTTTCTAGTATTTCTATTGGTGTATTTTAAGCTAGTATGACATAGTTGCCATAGTTATTGTTTGTGTGTTGTAACATGAGGGGCCGGCTTGTTGGGGTTTCTGTCCCGCCCAGTATCCCACAACCGGCAAGTCCCAGAGAAAATCAATCACACAGAGATCTCTATAAGTTATAAAACTGATTGGCCCTTAGGTCAGGCTTCTTGTTAACTCTTATAACATATATTACCCCATTATCCTTATCTATGTTAGCCACATGGGCTCAGTACCTTTCTCAGTGTGACAGCTTACATGTTGCCTCTTCGGTGGTCTGCACAGGAATGGCGGAGGGAGTTTTCTCCTCCCTAGCCTTATCCTATTCTCATTGCCCCGCCTCTACTTCCTGTCTGGTTGACCCGCCTATACTTCCTGCCTGGCCAATCAGCGTTTTATTAAAATACATGATTGACAGAATACAGACAATTCTCTCGCACCAGTGTGTTTTCTGAGATTAGATCTGCCTTCCCAGTAGAGTACAATTTTGTAGGACCTGTTTATAATTAAGGATGGTTTTCAGTGCCTTCTTGTGAGACTTGATGCCAGGAATGTTAACACTTTGCTCATGAACCTTCCTTACGAGACCTCAAATAGTAATTTATCCTCGTACCTCCAGTTTTTCCATTTAGAAACTCTAGAGAGAGTTTTGATTGCGAGGTTCAGTTTTTGCTTATTTCTAAATGTATCTGAAATGTTTCCTTCCACCAAGTCACTTGAAAGTCAGTTGCTTTCAAGGGACCAGTTGTCAGCCTTGGTGGAAAGGCTGTTGGCCAAGTGTGGCCTGGGAGAAGGATTCAGGGCAAGGGTGGTTTGAGTGAGTCTGGAATTCTCTATGTAAAATCAAGAGTTGAAAAATGAGTGTTTTGAAAAGAACAGTTGTGTGAGGAATAAAAATTCAAACCATATTGTGACTACAACACCACCACATCACTGGGGAAGACTCCCCCCCCCTCGAATTTATACAACACCTACATCACTGGGGAACACCCCCCCCCCGAATTTATACAACACCCACATCACTGGGGAAGCCCTCCCCCCCAAATATAGAAAGCTTTTAACATTAAGCAAACCAAACCCACGTACAGTTTTGTGAGTTGTCGACCACCCACATTTGACATGAGGTCTCTGTTGTTACCCAGGTCACATCTAGAACTCCTAGGCCTGCTGCGTGCTCCTGCATAGCTGAGATTACATAGCACCACAGTACAGCAGCTTCATAGAGACAGTAAATGCTAATGGTGAAGTGGGCAGAGGGGCACCTCAGCAGCTGCAGCTACAAGCCGGGTTCCATCCCCATTACCTGTCTAGTAGAAGGAGAGAAAGAAGAGAACTAATCATGAATGTTGCCTTTTATACACACACACACACACACACACACACACACACACACACAAATCTAGTAAAAAATATTAATAGGAATACCAAATTTAAGTGTTAGAGACTAAAGCTACCAGACTCTCTAAGAATATTTAAGTTAGTGATATCTTTGGACCCTTAGAAGTCCCTCAGTTAATTTTCAGTGGTGTCCAAGGCCAACACTTTTTAATAAAAGTTTTTAGTTACATTTATTATTTGTGTGTAAGCACATGGACACACACACATGAGTGTGTGTTTTGGGGGGTGTCAGAGGACAATTTTTGGGAGCTGCTTCTCTCTCTTTTTACCGTCTGGGTTCTGAGACTTGAACTCAGTTCATTAGTTTTTGGCACCAAGAACCTTTCCTCACTAAGTCATTTTCACAGGTCACTGTTAATTCTTTGACCACAGTTCTATGGTATTGCCCTTTCCCTGTGTTTATTGGTTACTGCAGTGTTTGAACTATTCATTATAAAAACAGAGGTGATCAGGGTTGCACTGTGTAGCTCTGGCTATCCTAGAATTCACTATGTAGACCAGGCTGGCCCAGAATTCACAGAACTGTCTGCTTTTCTCTTGAAAAGCAGTACCGGGATTAAAGGTATATGCCACTGTGGTGGGCCAACAGTGATGTTTAAAAATGCTGTTGACTTAGCATAAATGAAGACATGTGTCAGATTGGTCAAGTACTGTTGTATTCCCTTGAAATTTAAAGAAGACCGTTTCACTTAAGAGTGTTTGAAGAACATCAAAAGTGACTCATTTTTTTTTACATTGTGGCCCCTGAGCATCCATTTACAAATTTTCTGCGTGGTGATGAGAAGTATGCGTAGATGATATTACTGCATGCTGCGGTACAGGGGTGATCCTGTGGAAGGACGCTGTGCGATTGCGTGGATGACAGGCTGTACTAGCTGCTTTTCCATGAATGCATCATTCGTGCTTTACAGAACAACAAACTGGTTATTAAGGTTCAGCATTTGGCAGATATTTCCCTAAAACAAGGAAGCCCAATTGATAATAATTCTTGCTGATGATAAAATCTGAATACTAGAAACATAACTTAGCGTTTGAACTTTGGAAAGCCAGCATCTGTTATATAGCATCTATCTGTCTTATAGTAGATCTATGAGACATAGTGAGCTTTTCTTTCCTTTTCGTTCTTTCTTTTTTTTTTTTTTTAAGATTTATTTACTTATTATACATACAGTGTTCTGGCATGGAGGGCACCAGATCTCATTACAGATGGTTGTGAGCCACCATGTGATTACTGGGAATTGAACTCAGGACCTCTGGAAGAGCAGCCTGTGCTCTGTTCTTGGGAGGGAATAAAAATGTGATCTAATTAAAAAAAAAAAAGATACTGTGAAATAGGATTCATCAATATTTGAAAAGTCTACATGAGCCAGTGAGCCAATAATTCCTCCTTGGAAAATGACCTGTGTTAGGAACACACATGATCAAGGTCCATCCAGACTGTGGGATAGGATAGTTGGCTAGTTAGTTTATTAGTATCATTTCAGACTCTGCATGACAACCCATTTTTTTCCTACTTTTTACATTTTATGGTTTGTGTGTGTGTGTCTGTGTGTCTGTAGTGCACATAGCTTTTGGAGGGCAATGTCAGGAATTGTCCTCATTGTTCTTCAACCTTATCCTTTGAGGCAGTCGTGCCTAGAGCCCAGTGATACACTAGCCAGGTTGCTCTGATGATGCCCTCATCTTTGCTTTCTGAGACTGGAGATATAGGTGGCCGATACGCCCCCACTGCCTGATATGCATCAGTTCTTGCTTGAATGACATGTGTTAACTTGTAGGCTAAACTACAACTCAAGTTTCAGAAATGACAGACTGTTGTTGAGTTTTGATATTTTTGATATTTGCATTAAAGAAGAATATCTCTGATTCTGAGAGAAGACTCTAAAATATTCTTTTCCCTACCTTGATTTTTTTTTAAAGATTTATTTATTGGTTATATACAACATGTTTTCCTGCACACCAGAAGAGGGCGTCAGATCTCATTACAGATGGTTGTGAGCCACCATGTGGTTGCCGGGAATTGAACTCAGGACCTCTGAAAAAGCAGTCAGTGCTCTTAACCTCTGAGCCATCTCTCCAGCTCCCCCCTACCTTGATTTTTTAAAAGTATATTTCAATAAATCACAGCTTGAATAGTCAAGAATATGTAAATCTGTCTTCTAATATGCCAGATATTCAAGAGTTTTACCGAAAGCATACCAATGCAATGTCTTATTTATCTTATTTTCTCAGGTCAGTGTTTTCCTAAGTAGACAGCCTGGCCTTAAACTCACAACCCTCCTGCCCCATTCTCTCAGTGTTGGGAATTCAGGCATGTGTCAGCACACCTAATTAAGTTCTTTTCTTTATAATAAAGTTTTAAAATGATATACTATGTTAACATGTAATGCATTTTATTGCAGAATGAAATGAAACGTATTTAATAATTTCTCAGTGTTTTCTTATAAACACACGTGAAACACATCTAAATTAAATGTTCACACATACACACACATTTATCTCAAAGCTTTTGGGTGTGTCTGTTAATTTAAGTGTGAAAGGAAAAACCACAAATACTGTTTTCGGCAAATGATGGAGGCTATGTTTGTCATGTACAGAAGGCTTTGCATGTAGCATTACATTTAATTTTACTATCATCTCCATTTAAAAAAAATGAAAGAAACAGAATTTAAAAAAATGAACACGTCTAGGCTATACAATTAGTAAGGGGTACAGCTGGGCTTCTAGCCCAGAGTTTTTCTCTTAAGAGTTTTGGGTCAGTAATGCTGCTCTCTAGTCTGATGTGGCCTTTAACATAGTTTATTAGACAAACAAAGAAAATAAATATTGATCCTGCACTGTTTATCAGAGCATTTATTTGAGGTTGCCCCTGCCCGTGTGACTATGTTGCTTCCAAATGAAGGTACTGAGTTACACAGACATTGCTTAGAAGAGTGTAAGATGATATATACTTTCTTAAGGAAAATCTGGCAGTGATTATGAACAATCTGGAATGTTTGGGTGACTTTTGATCTGACAAGTCCACTTTTAAAAATATTTACTCATGAAGTAATTAAAGAAGTGCATGTTCTGTATAATTCAAATTGTGGAGTGCTTTGCTAGAGAAACCCTATAGAAACTGCTTAAATACCTGAGCATAGGCGATTGCTTAATTGTGAACAGTGGAATTCAAATTATTAGTAATGACTTACTTACTGAAAATGATGGTTTGAATACTGACACAAATTATTCATAGTGTACCATTTAAATGATAAAGGTAGCTTTATCAAAATATGCAGAGATTTATATTTATAGTACAGATACATGTTTTAGAGAGGGAGTGTACATAAGCTAGCAGTGGACTGGCAAGATAGCTCAGCAGGTCAAGTTGTTCTTGCCATCAAGTTGACTGAAGTTGTGTCCCGGGACCACACCGTGGAAGGGCTACACTACCTTCTTGCCTACCTGGGGTTGGGGTTGGGGTGAGAGATGACAAACTGTGAAAAGTGGGATTCTCTATAAAAGGTGAGAACATGGATTTTTATTTTCTTTGGCTGTATTTTTTGCTTTTAATTTTAAAAGTTAAAAATTATAACATTAAACTAGGCAAGGTGGCACATGTCTTTAATCCCAGCACTCGGGAGGCAAAAGCAGGCAGATCTATCTGAGTTCAAGGCCAGCCTGGTCTACTGAGTGTATTTCAGGACAACCAAGGATACACAGAGAAACCCTGTCTTAAAAAACCAAAACCCAAACCAAACCAAAACAAAAAACACAAAAAGCAAAACCCTATACAACACTAACTGTGCATCACAGGCCAGACTAGCATGCCTCGTGGTTAAACTTAATTCCCTTAGCCCTGTTAGCTTCAGTGTAATGTGCTTCTTATAGATTTTAATGTTCTTAATGAATTCTAATTTGAAGTTAACTACAATATTTTTGTTTCAGCTTGTATATGAATTTTTCATACGATTTTTGGAAAGCCAAGAATTCCAACCCAGCATTGCCAAAAAATACATAGATCAGAAATTTGTATTACAGGTAAGCATTCTTTTGTAGTTGTATTCATGTAATTTATTTACTAACACTTTACCTCATTTTCTTGGATATTCTTAAAAACAACAGTCTTTCTGGTGGCTGTTATGTTGCCTCTTAATTAAATATGTTTATATAAGGTAGTTTCTTCTATTGCCTATTAAAAATAACAATGCCTTTTAAAAATTATTTGTGGTGGAATTTAATTCCACACTAAACACCAGGAATACCCATTCCTATGTCTTTCTAAATTGCTTTCTTAAAAGTTTAATTATAGAAGAATTTTATTTATATGACTGGTTTATACAATTTCTAAAATTTATATTTATGCCGGGTGGTTGTGGTGCATTCTTTTAATCCCAGGCAGAGACAGAGGGATCTCTCTGAGTTCAAGGCCAGCCTGGTCTTCAGGGTGAGTTCAGGACAGCCAGGGCTGCTTAGAGATACCCTGTCTTAAAAAACCAACCAACCAACCAAACAAACAAACAAAAACATTATTTATTTTGTGGATATTTGTCTTTATATGGGTATGTGTGTGTCACAGTTGTCGAAGGACAACCCCTCTGGAGTCATTTCTCCCTTAGCCTTGTGGGTTCTGTGAATTAAAACCTCAGTTCATCAGTCTGGGCAATCTAAGTCGTCTTGCAGGCCCAGTGTGTGAATCTTTATGTTGCTTTAAAACTTACTGTCTAGAAAAGGTTTTTTAAAACACTTTAGAATATATCTATTAAAAGTAAGTAGGTGAGCTCATGGGTGCAGAGCACAAGTAATAGAAATATTATAATATCTATAACTATTTAGGACTATAACTGTGGGAAATCGCTCAATTTAACCCTTTAAAATTTTCCTGCAGGGATTAATTCCAGCCTATCCATCTGAGGCACCTTAGGGAACCTGCTTTTCCTGGTTCCTCATTTCTTGAAACTGTTGACTACATCTTCCTTTCTGCCTGGGGTTTGGGGCACTTTGCTGAGACTGAATTTTTGGGAAACACCTCCTTGCTCCTGTTGTGTTCTCCAGTGGGCGACACTGAAGCAGAGTGGTGTATGGACTGCCGCTCCTTTGACAGGAAAGAAAATACCTGTCTCCTACTGTTGTAGGAGGCCGCTTGTTTGTTTCCAGCTGCCCAGACTTGAAATAACCACATAGAAACTGTATTAATTAAATCACTGCTTGGCCAATCACTTAAGCATATTGATAACAAACTCTTACATCTAGAATTAACCCATTTCCATTATTTTATATTTTATCACAAGGTTCGTGTCTTACCGGCAAGGTTCCAGCCAGCAGCTTGTGTCGTTCTCCTCTGTTGTCTCCATGGCATCTCCTTGCTTTATCTCCAGTCTGCTGATAGCACAATTGGCTTCCGGATGCTTTCCCCTCTAGGCCTGTTTCTGAGCTGTTCTTCTGGGTAGTTTGTTCCTATCTTGGGCCTGCTGGGCTACATAATACATAATAAGTCTTTGGGGCTTGAGGAGCTCCCTCTAATAATTGCTATCACCCCATCCCAACCATGCCCCTCTTGCTCTGCTGTGCCTTGCCTGACCCTCAGTTGGCCATGCTTCCCACTTCTGATTCATATTCAGGACTTTTCTCCACCCTCCTCTCTCCCTGCTTACTTACCCCATACCCAGACTACACCTAGCCCTTCTGTGGCTTGTATCTTAAGACATGAAAAATCCTCATCTTCTTCTTTTTCACAAAGCAAAATAATATTTTCCTTCTATGTTTTCTTTGAGCAAACCTTTTATTTTCTGTATCTACATATATATAGATAGATAGATAGATATAGATATAGATATATTTCTGTATCTTTATGATCTCAAAATGTTTTGGTGGTTTCAACAGGAAACTTACTAAGTTAAAATTTATTCTAGCTACAAGATTTGAACGTGTTTACTGTTGCAACTAAATATAATTCTTTTTCTTTCCCTAGTTCTCTTCCCATAAGTGAATACAAAAGACAAAATAAGGATGGAACTACTTTGCTGTGCTGTAGCAGGCCATAAGTGTAACGTGCTATAAAAGCTGAGAATGGGCTCTTCTTTGTACTTGCGGCGTGACTGCCAGCAAGTATTCAGATTTGATTCCTAAGCTCGAGTCTACTCATTCACCGTGTAGATTGCAGGAAGAGCAGGACGGTAGTAGGCAAAATACAGACACAACCCAAATGCTGTTGCTTGATCTGCTTTGTTCATTTGGGAGTCTAGGTACAATGAGTTCTTACCTTCAATGTAAACACATTGTTGATGCCTCTGAGACTCAGTGTCTTCTTGTGTTCTGTCACAAGTGGGCTTGCTATGGAATGACTTATACAGGTCACTTGCTGGTTCCATCTGGGAAATTGCATTGTTATGAAATACTCATCCTTTCAGGCCCTTTTCATATCATAATGTCTGTTTGATTCTAATATTAATTTAAAAATCTTCACCTTTTGAATATTCTTTTGGTGTTGTGAATTTAACACAAGGCCTCACATTGGCTAAGCATGTGTTTCACTGCTAAGCTGTATTCCCAATTTGGAACAAAATTTTTAATCTATGTGAAACTTACAGTACAATTGAATGAATGTTGGAATGTAGTATATTTCTAGGTGGCAATAAGTTTGCCATCATAAAGATATCTATATAATCCCTAAGATGGTGTGTGTGTGTGTGTGTGTATGTATGTGTATATATACATATGTATGTATACATATGTATGTGTATATATACACACATACACACATACGCACATACACACATACACACATACATACATACATACATACATTTTGGAATTCATTTTGTAGCCCAAGTTGGCCTCAAACTCAGAGATCTACCTGCCTCTGCCTCCCGAGTGCTGAGATTAAAGGTGTGCACCATCTTGTCTGGCTATCATAGTCCTAATTAAAATTCGAGTTTCTTTTTTTTCAGTTAAAAACTTCATGGTTCATGGTATACATATCTAAACCATGGTATACATGGTTTAGATAATAAATAGCTCTCAGGACTGCAAGAAAAAGATAATCTATTAAGGTGCATTAATCTAAACAGGAGAAGGAAATACAGCAGAAGATGGAGGGGACTCTCTGAGTAAGCCAAAGTCCATCAGAAGATAAGTGCCCCTGAGCTGACAGACAGACACACATGGCATCTTGTTACAGGAGAGGCCTGCTTGTTTAGCTTAGCCCCGAAATAACCACACAGAAACTGTATTAATTAAAACACTGCTTGGTTCATTAGCTCTAACTTCTTTTTGGCTAACTCTTACATCTTAGTTTAACCCATTTCTACTAATCTGTGTATCACCACGTGGCAGTGGCTTACCGGGAAAGATTCAGCATGTCTGTCTCTGTCTGTTCCATGGTGTCTCTCCCCTACTCCGCCTTTCTTCCTTCCAGCATTCAGTTCTGTCTTCCCCTGCCTACCTAAGTTCTGCCCTGTCAACTAGGCCAAGGCAGTTTATTTATTCATTAACCAATGAAAGCAACAAACAAACAGAAGGACCTCCTACACCAGCATCTAGTCATTAAAATGCTCCAGCTCTGGAGGAAATAGTATTCTGACAAGTATTGACCCAGCAGTTCCATAAGACACAACTAGATGTGTCTACAAAGATACTGAATGCTTCATTGTTGATGATTGCACCATTAGAAAAAAAAACTTAATAGGTCTTCATCAGGAGTTGGTTGAAAAAAACTATAGACTTTCACATAGCAGAATATTCATTAGTTAGTAAAAGAATGTGAGCAGTGGCACACATGATGTGTTTGAAATGCATGTTATAGAACCCCATAGTTTATAAGTCTTGTCTGTTATTTTAGGGGAAAGGCATGTCTGTGTTTTGGTGCATTGGTGTACCTCCACAGGTCCTCTCTCCTTTATGTACGTGATTGTACTTCAAGCTCCCCAGTGAATGCTTGAAGCCACAGACTGCATTGACCCCAAGAACTGCGATAGAGTGATGACAGCCAAATGGCCACTGAGTGACCCTCCGTGGATAAAGAGTGATTCACGTTTGGGGTCAGAGGCAGTGGGACTCTGAGGCTTTCTTATGATAATACCTCAGAATAGCTATTTAAAACTTAGGAGTTATTTCTGGAATTTTCTGTGTACTATTTTTGGATAATGGTATAAAATTGAGAGCAGATATGTGCTTTATCTGAGACTGGGTAATTTTTAGAGCAGAGATTTGCTTTTCACAAATCTGGAGATTGGGCAGTTCAAAATCCATGTGTTGACATCTGGCAAGCATCTGTCTGTATTCTCCCATGGCAAGGGTAGAAGGTAAAGGGTGAGAGCTGGGCCCTCCCGCAGTCAACATGTGTACCATTGTGTGACTCCATTCATGGGTACTGTTGCTATCTCAACTCCCCCCCAAATGGTTCCACCTCTGTGGTATTGGGGAATAAGTTTCCAAAACATGAGTTTAGGGACACTGTTAACTATAGCATTGTGCATTAACAGTTTTGGAAGGAAATAGACCAGATTGTTGGTAATTGTGGGGCGGGTGTGACTGTCTTCCCACTCTGTGACTTACCTAGCTGGTTTTGCGTTTAGAAGAATTGTATATGCCATAACAACCACCAGAAAGAGGTTTCTGCTGCAAGTGCATTCTTACTTTGCTTTGTGTTTTTCATAAACCACTGCTTACTTGTGCATCAGCCTTTTTTGTAGGATTCTGCCATTTTATGATGAGTATTCATTGTTTTTTCTTCCTTTCATCACGTGGGTATGCCTCTTTAAAATCTGAGCTTGCTTCCTGTGGTGTCTCAAGGGCCTTTTATCAAGAAGCAGAGTGGATTGGTTGTTAAGTGTGGAGGCTGATTTGAGTTCAGTTTTGCTTGTTTATTTGTTTTAGAATAGAGTTTCACCCTGGCTGACCTGGACTTTGCCATGTAGACCATGGTGGCCTCAAATGTGTGACCACCTTCCTGCCTTTGCCTCCTGAGTCCTGGGAATACATGCCCACGTCACCAAGCCCAGTGCTGCCAGTTTTCATTGTGTGACCTTAGACAAGTTACA